GGGGGGGCGGCCGCTGCTGGCCCGGTAGTTCGACGGGCACCCTGCCCTCCCGCGCGCCGCTGACGTTCTGCCGAGGACAGGTCGTCACCACAACACGCACGCCTGTTGGGCCTCGCGCGGCACGCCTCGGTGAGCGCGGGGACGCCGCGGGGACGCCGTCCAGGCCAGGCACGAGCGGGGCGGCGGGGCCGCGGGGACCGGCACCGCGACAAGGCCGCCCTGCACTGCCGCCGCGGTCGACATGGTTTAGATCGGAGGTACCGTTGGCTCCTATCCGCTACCGAGGTACATAACGGAGGAGAGTGGGGGCCCCCATGCACACTCACACACACTCACTCGTACTTACCTTGTTCCGCTGAGACGGTGACTAGAGAGAGGAGGGCGGTGAGGCCCAGCCCCGCGAGGGGCACGAGCTGCGCCAGCCGCGCCATGGCCGGCCCGGGCCCCGCCGGCGGCCTCCTGGCGGGCCTGGCGGGCCTGCTGGTGGGCGCCGTGGGCGGCTGGGCGCCGGGCCGCCAAGCGCTGGGCCGCCGGGCGGGCGGGGGCCGCGAGGCCGCCAGGTCCGCGGCACGGCCCATGGCTAGGCCCTGCTTCACCGTAGCCACATCACTGCGACCCTCACACCGGCGCCGCGATAATCCTGCAACAGAGATGGACAGCGTCAGCTTCATGGCAAAAAAGTCACACCGCCCACAGGAGTCCGTTCAAGTTCGATGGACCTATTCGGTGCGCTGTTCGGACATACAGGGTGGTTTATAGACCCCCTCTTTCATTTTGCTCATACGGCTTATACTGTACCGCATGCAGGCGTGCGGGCGGGCTTGCCTACCGCCGCTCACCACGGCGCCTTGTGGCTACGTGTGAGTATGCAACCCGTCCGCACGACTGCATGCGGTACAGTATAAGCAAAATAAAGGAAGTGGTCTATGGACCACCCTGTATTTACTTTCACTGAGGCACAGAAAACGACAGATTCGAGAGAGCGCGGCATACTTCCACAACGACCTTTGAACAACTTGGTCGTCATCGTTTTGGAGCCCATTTCACCTTCTCTCGCTATCTTCATGGCAACAGGACAGTCATCACCTGGCGCACTCTACCTCCTAACGTGGCCGACCCTGCACCACCCCCACCGCACCCCCCGCGCACCCACCCGTAAACGCCGCTAAAACTGCACCATCAGCCACACAAAGCTAACCCAGGCTAACCCCTCGCGCACCCGGCCGGGCACGCATCGCGCGCTGCGCCCGGAGCTACGAATACCGCCTCCCTTTTCATCAGTTTTCTGCCGCTGCAGTTCGATTCCCAGAACGCACACTATTGGGGTGAGACGATACCTGGCCGGCCGGGGCGCGGCGGACAATGCAACAAACAGCGAATAATAGAGGCCAAACACATTCGATGAATGGCTGGATAGCAGGATGTCCCCCCCCCCCTTTTTCTCCCTCCCTACTTTTCGCGCTGCAGATGTATCGAAACTCCCCAGCAGCATTTGCAGAGGCGTCGGGGAAAGCGCTCATATCGCACGAACATGAGCCCGACACATGAAGAAAAAGAGGGGAAAAGGGGGGGGGGCTCTTGTTAGTGTTCCCATTCCCCACTCCCCGCCGTGGTCAGTGCGATCTCATTACGCGCCGCGAGTTTCAAAATCGATCAGCGCACAACACGCGACAGCAGGCCCCTCTTTCGCTTTGGAAACTGGGGCACGCACGACGCTGCAATAAAATGGGCATTTCTAGAGAGGCCTTTCGGTCGACTATGGACCTCCTGGCTGGGCCGAGCCTCACCAGAGGCGCTCTTCGCCGCGCTCCGGTGGCAACACCAATCTTTCGGCCAGCAGGCTTCATTTCAAAGATGTGGTGAGGCAAAAGGTCAATAACAAAAACAAGTCAGAAATGGCAGCCAAATAACGGGGATGTCGTCATGACGTTCTGGGTACCGCTGTCGAATATGTATAGCTCAGGTCCGCAAGCAGGTATTCGTACCAGGTGTATACCAGGAAGGACACAACAGCGTTGCGGGTTTGAATACGCTCTAGGGGCGCAGGGACCATAGCGCCATACAAGTGGAGCCGCGACACCTGATATACATGCTCCATTCGTTCCAATGGAACTGGCCGCTCAGCAGTTGGCCGAAAATCGTACACCCCACGGTAGTTTCACGTACTCACTGTTCAGCTCCTACCCCTAGAGTCGGACCTTTGGTGTGCCGTGTGCCCTACAAGGGCTCACAGACTCGTTTCCGAGGACCCACATTCCTTTCAGGAAAATAAAGTTGCAAGTCCCATATTCCAGCAACCAGAGGAGATGGATCGAACAGAACACTTTGCGCATCGGATGCGCGCGGCGAGGCGAGACGCACGGCGGCGTGACGCCCCGGGCCTCGGGGCAGCGCGCACGAGAAGGGGTTCAAGGCGCACGCATCAGGGCCGGGGGCGGTGCTGCAGGCTCTGCTAGCTGCAGGCGTTGCAGGTCGTGCGCGTCGCCATTACCGCCACTTCCGTCGCCGCCGCCGCCGCCACCACGGTCACCACCGCCGCTCTGCCCCGCCCCGCCGCCGCTTTCACCACCATCAGCAGCTCGCGCGGCATCCGGTGTCGCGTTCACCAGAGGAGCGCAGAGAGGAGCTGGCCGGGCTCTGGCAGATAGCGGCGGAATGCGCGTGAGTGATGCCCTGCCGACGCAGTAATATCATCAGCCGCGATAGCGTCCCCGCCGCGCCCCACCGCCCCCCGCCCCGCCAGGCGGACTCACATTTTATTCCGGCAGGCGGCGGCGGTGGCGGGGGAGGAACGTGAGAGTGGAGCGCACAGGGGGCGAGAGGGGAGAGGAGGGGGAGGAAAAGCGCTCACGCTGCGTCATACGATACGAGTTGTGAGTGGATATGAGGGGCAGCAGGTTTTTGTTCGGCGCTCTCTGGCACGGCGGGGCGTGTGGGCAGGGCGGGGCGGGGCGGGGCACAGCCGGGCTGCGCGGCGGGGTCGAGGGGAGTGCGGGGGCCGAGCAGGGGGAGGGTAATTTGCATGCATCCGCGCGTCAATGCTTTCGCGCAAGTAGTCGCTGCTGCTCGCTGGCTGCGCCCCCCGCCCCTCTCCTGCTCCAGGACCGCTCGGCCAGCTCCACGAAGCTCCGACGGGCTCACAGCCGCGGTTGTGCACAGTCAGCGCGCCTCGCTCTCGCCCACCTCCTAAACAAACAGGTCGCCCCGGTTCCCATGCGCCGGGGCGCGGACCGATCGTCGCCGTGGCCTCGCGCCCCCTCCGGCCTCCTCCGGCCGCGCGCTGGAGCGACTCTGTGCCCTCGGGCCACGGGCCACGGCGGGGCGGGGCCGGCCAGGCCTCGGGCCAGGCCGCGACCGCGACGGGTGTATCATACCACACGACGACAGTGATGGACGACGGCCCGCCGAGAGCCATGCGGGGTCCTGCCGCGCCGGCCGCGAGCCGCGTCGTCCCCCAGGCCAGCCGGTCCCTGCCGAGCCGAGCGCCATCCAGGCGATCCAGGCCCCGCGCAACGGGACAGCCCCGGCCGGGGGAGCCCGCGCCAACCCGCCGATCCGACTACAAAGGCCCAACTGCAGATTTATGTCCGAACGTTATTGTCTAATTAATTCCGACACGACTCTCTATCATTTCGCATAGAGTGGCGTGGCGCGGCGGCGGGCCGCGAGCGCGCGTGTACCGCTAGGCTTCCCCCCTCCTCGGCCCGCCCCCTGCCGCGCGCACTGCATTCAAACGTCGTGCGCGAGCTGCGCGAGTGTCTTCGAACGCGCCGCCCGCCCGCCGCCGCGTGGGCCGCGTGCCTCCGCACAGCGCCGCGCAGCTAAGCGCCTCTCGGACGCGGCCGGCGCAGCGGCGGAAGGCGGGCGGCGGGGCTCGAACCGCGTCCCATTTCCCCGTTGTCAGGTACAGGATGCGTCCACAATCCAGACGACCAGGGCCGAGCCAGGGCCGAGCCAGGGCCGAGCCAGGGCCGAGCCCAGCAAGCGCGCGCGGCGCAAAGCCAAACGCGGTACACGAACCCTGCAGAAAATGGCGCACGAATACGTAACCACATCTCTCTCCTTTACTATACACGGTCGGTGTTCTAAGCCGGACATTTATTTTGTATGTTGCACTGTACCAGTACCACGTGCAGGGGTTGAGGGTGGGCTTGACTACCGAGTCTGAGCACGGCCCTGCGCGAATGTGCAACCCGTTTGCAGTGCAGCGGTTCGGTGTAACCAAAATTCAAGTCCGGCGTAGAACACCGACCCTGTACAACGACAAATGCTTGACGGCTTCAAAAGCAGGGTGTCACTGTCACAGGTCCGACAGAGCAAAGGTGGAAACGAGCTGACAACTGACAACAAGATGTAATTTACACAAATACCCAATTTGACACACGAGGGGGCTGCGCGTTAGCTGATACCATCCCTCCCCTTCTCCTCACCCTCTCCGTTCGCACGCAGCTCGCTCGCCCCTCCCACCACTCCGTGGCGCAGCGAGGGAAAAGCGCCCCGCAGATTCGTTCCAAGTAAACTTTTAATTTATACTTTCCAGCGCGACGAAGAGGCGACTCGGGTGTCAGCCCAGGACAGAGCCAAGGACAAGTGAAGCTAGATTAAAATGCTGGCAGGCGACAGAACGAGGGAGAG